AGAAAGAGAGCGTTACATAACACTGTTTGGGGTGCGGCGAACTTTCCACTCCTAGAAAAAATGTGTAGTATTTCATTTATTTATTATTTAGTATTTAGTATTTATTTTGAATGTGATATGGCCTATAGAATGAGTCGCGGGGTCTAGTCAATGCACCAACCAGCGCTTTACCATTCTAACCCACGCAAAATCCGAGATTCGATTCTTCAAAAATGCGCATCTGCAAGCGGCACCACTTCCCACCACAACTCCACTTTGTGAGACACATTCTATATCTCAAGATGAAGGGGCGTGGCCGAAGCCAGGTCGGGCCTGCGTTTTTCGTTGCGCAATTTCCCATTTAGAGACGGCTGTCAAAACGGAAAGATCCCTTTAGAGGCACAACCGCACGTGCAAATGAAGCACGCAGCCACGCCCACTCCATTGCCGGGATGTGGGGTTGTCTGGAGTACGAGAGTGCGTTGACTTAGCAATTGCAGACTTCTAACTTGCAATGCAACATGCAATTCTAATTTATGGTCTCTGCTAACTTTTCATATTTCAAGGCAGCGTCATCGTCTGCCTGATCCTCTCAGCTGGTCTTTACAATGTCCATTTCGAGCAGGACATTAGGAAGTCATTTTCTCCAGATGACTCCATCAGTGGGAAGTGAGTGATTTTTCACGTGCTCTGCAGATGTTTCATCCTTTACTTTACATTAATTAACTTATTTCACTTTTGCATTGGTTTCATGGTTATTTTCACATTTTCTTTTTATGTCGTTTCAAAGGCAATGGAGTCATGGCAAAGTCTTATGGTCAGGGCACGTCCTGCTGCCGGGGAAAATTTTCGGAAAACACGACCGATTTTCTCTCAAAGGCATATGCGGCCCCGCCCTCAACGACGAGAACTGCGATCCTCCACTGGAACTCTCCGATGTAAATAGCGCGAGTGGCCCGTGAACAGGAAAAATCAACTATCAAAATTTTTCCCGTTCAGAGACCAAATACGACTTCCCCCCCCTCTTGGGGATTCCCCGACGTAGGACGTACCCTTCTTATGGTACCCTGTAAAATGAGCGGGGTTGACTAGCAACGAAGAAACTAGAAAGATCACCCAAAAAAGAAATCCGATGAAGACATGTCGATGGAGCGAGTTGCGCCGCTGTAATCTGGACGTTCTCTGCTGCACAGATCGCGGTGGGGATGTGACAAAAGGATCTTGGGTGGAGTGTGGGCGATCACATCAGGGCAAACTGTATAAAGGAGATTGAAAAGAGGGGTTCCCGACGAGGACCGTATTGGTCGATAGGAGAAAGGAGACTGTATTTTACATTGTAATTTTTTTGAGTGGTTCACCTCATCCATACTTCCCAGTAGCCAGAATGTTAGTTTTACTAGTCCTGATGATACATTGGAGATCTTCATCACCTTCCCATA